GTCCCGGTTCAACCTTTAGGGCTGCCAACATGTAAAAATGGTGAAAGAACATAACGAAATTATCACGACAGGCACCCTATTAGATCCATTTTTTGGCTTTTCAACTGGTTCAAATATGAGGACTTGCAAGCGTAATATCAAGCAACTTATCATACTAAGAAAGGCATGTCAGATTTAGACTGTACCCTTGACACTTTCATCTGATCAATTATTTGAAAGATGCAATGGCGTATTTTTTCTAGGTTTAAAAGTGTTAAATTCAGATTATTTCTAATAATAAGTAAGAAATCCGTCCCTTTTGTAGAGAAATCACAAATAGAAATAATCTGTTTTCTAAATAAACACGGATATCTTATCAAACTTGATCAGGCAAAGCTTTTAAGGGCGCCATTGGGAATCGTACATGCCACTGTCAATAAATTTGCGGGTCACTTGAAATTACAGTTTCTTTAAAATGTCGTCTTTTTTTACACCACTGAATGAAAGTTTATTCTTATATTAAAAGATCTACACAATCAAGCTCTTAGCTACTAAAAATATTTACATGTTAGTTATAACTGACTAAACGGCTGGATTAAATTGACTCAACTTCTTTAAAGAACTCCATGGATAACCTGGAGTAACATAGGCCAATTTTTTTTCTTTTTCAAAACTAGTTTTTTTAAAAGTGTTCTAAAAATTCCACGGGCAACGCAGGGCACTTGAGCTAACACCAAGCGCGGGTAAACGCCGGGAGTAACTATGATAATAAATAAAAAATAAACCAATGGCAACGCCTCTGGCCCTTTAGCTGGTGTAAATTATTTAAAGGGGTAATTTTTTTTACAAAAGAAGTAATTTATCTTAATATTTAACGATTTTGTAGTTTAACACGGATTCTACTGCAGTATATGCACATAGTTCAATAATTCCAGTTTTAAGATTTTAAGATCATAAATCATGCATGATACAAGCCATCATTGCAGGAGGCTGAGGAGGGGGGGATTTGGTTAACATTTCTTAAAATTTTTCCCTAGATATTTTTACACTTTTAGTGTCCAGTATATATAACATCATTAACTCAAAGTTNAAAACTATACACTACACAGAAAACTATACACTACACAGAAAACTATATAGTACACTGAAAACAATACAATACACTGAAAACTATACACTACACAGAAGCCTATACACTACACTGAAAACTATACACTACACAGAAAACTATGTACTACACTGAAAACTATACAGTACACTAAAAACAATACAATACACTAAAACTATACACTACACAGAAAAATATACACTACACTGAAAACTATGCTCTACACTGAAAACTAAACACTACACAGAAAACTATACCCTAAACTGAAAACTATACACTACACAGAAAACTATACACTACACAGAAAACTATACCCTAAACTGAAAACTATACACTACACAGAAAACCCTAAACTGAAAACTATACACTACACAGAAAACTATACACTACACAGAAAACTATACCCTAA